TAGGATTTTCAAAGGAAAATTTTCTTTGTAGCTCTTTGCTCTGTAGGAACCGATTCCATGTATGATAGAAATTAATCCTTCACATTTCGAATGAAAAAAAAATTGCCTAGATAAATATAATTCCTACTCTATGCATCAAATGACATTTATGTTCCTATAGGAATTGAGTTACATGTTCATCTCATTTTTTATGATTTTTCTATGGCCGATGCTAGGAATCATCCGGTTTATCTATGCCAAAAATCAATCGGGTCCACAGCCGTATGATCTACCTGAATCTGACGCCCTGGCAGTAAGCGGTGGTGAGCAGCGGGCAACCTGCGCTGGCCGCACGACTCCATTTGACCGCCTAATCCCAGCCTCTCCACTTACGTGGTCCCTGTGAATTGTATGCTACTCTCTCTGTTCAGAATTACTTGTCGCGAAAATAGATGTATCTAGATGTATTTTAGTTCTAGATACATCCATTTTCGAGACAAGTAATTTGGAACGGAGGGAGTACATCTTTTGCTTCCCGTCCACTTCGGTTTGCTTTCCATATCTACGTTGGCAGCAAACAAAGCACAAAAGTGAACCATAGCTGGCCGCTGGCTAATCCACATGCAAGATTAAATTGCGCTAATCTTTGCGACATTTTTGTGATATAAGACCATGCCATTACTTCTGTACCATCATTGTCGTGTCCCCAAGCACTGGTGATGCTCCGTTGCTGCACGTGATGCTCCATTGCAGCGGCAGGGATGCTTCAGCGGTGCATCGACGGACCTTCGCTGCTCCATGGTAGCACAAGTAATGCTCCATGCAGCGGCAGGGATGTTTTAGTGGTGCACCGACGGACCATCGATGATCCATCGTAGCACATGTGATGCTCCACTGCAGCGCCACACATGCTTCGCCGGTGTACCGACGGACTGGCGATGCTCCATTGCAACACTGACGAAACTCCGGCGGCCCGACGATGCTCCATTGCAGCAACAATGATGATGCTCCAATGCAGACCGGCGAAGCTCCGGCGGCCAGATGATGCTCCATCACAACAACAATGATGATGCTCCATTGCAGCACCAACAAAGCTCCGGCAACCCGACGATGCTCCATCGCAGCATAGGTGATGTTGCTCCATTGCATCGTTGGCGATGCTCCGATAGCCCGACAATTCTCCGTTCCAGCCCGACAATGCTCCGATGGCATGGGGATCCTCCTGTGGCTAGACAAGTGCTCTAACGCAACACCGGCGATGCTCCCGAAGCCTTGCGGTGCTTCGAGTCTCTGCCCACCTCGCTCATCGGTCCGCATCGTAGTAACCAGCGATAAGCGGTACCGATTGCTGCGTCCACGACTCCATGGCCGATTTGCAGCCGCCGCTCAATGGCCCCTCGCAGGATCATCCGTCCCCATTGCAACAGCCGTCCGTCTGATGCACCCTGGCTAACAGCAGGCCACTGGCTGTCACATTAGTTGCCGGTCCATGCTTGCAGCAGCGACCACTCGTCGAAGCATCGTGGTTCTCCTCCTCCCACTCGTCATACAACAATGGCACCCCATCTTGCGAGGTGGGCTTTGGATTGCAGCACCCGCGAAGAGGGAGAAGCACGCCGGTGGCCTTGGATTGCAGCACTCGGGCACGTCTACAACGGAGAGAGCGTCGCCGCTGGCTGGCACGCAACATCGTCTTGCATCTTTGCGTGCACATCTGCTAGTAGAGAGAGCACGTCGACATAGCCGCCTTGCAGCATCGGCCAGCTCACTGCTTCCGACGGGCTCGTGGTGGCAGTAGAGACGTGCGGCGACTCATTGCTTCCGACGGCTCCAGCAATTGATTGAACAGAGACGTGCGACGGGTGGGCGACTTGCATCATCAACGACAATGGCAGCTTGCCGCTACACGTTCATCTACCACTTGACACAGTGTCCACGCTGCCCCTAGAGCACCGTTGGACGACCCATTGCAGCAGGAATTTTTCGGGCAGTCGGGCTTGCAGCAGCCGACCCCGGCCCTTACACCGCGGGTGCCGGGCAGGCCAGCAGTCGTACACCGTTCGTAGCGTCGGTGGCCAGTGGTGCCTTGTCTTGTAGCATCGGCACGGGCAAAGGCAAGGCTTGCAAATCGGGGCGACTGAGCGGCCGGCTTGCAACATGGTGCAGTCTGTGCTTGCGGCGTCCGCCATGGGCTCACGGCTGGGTGTTGCTGTGTAGGTGAGGGAGATGCGATAAGGAGAGAGAGAGAGAGAGACTATGAGGAAAAGGAAGAATCAAGAGAACGGTTGAAAAGATCAGATTTGAGCGGTCTGACACGCATGCACGTGAATGGGTAAGTGACGGCCACACGATCACGGGAGATTGGACGGCGTCGTAAGCGGCTGATGGATGGGCAGGAATCAGTCGGATTAAAACAAGTCTTTTCCTTTTCCTATTCCTCTATGACCCAAAGAGACCTTAACTCGTGTATACGACCAAGTGCTACTCGGAGTCTCGGATGACAGGGCGACAACTGTGGTTACGTCGTTCTTTGAGAAAATCACTCGCACTATTTGTTTCAACCTATCAGCATCAATCGCTGCTCCGTTGCTTTCAAATGATGATGAGGCAAATCTTTTGCCTCCATTTCGAAAAAAAGAATGATGGCCATTCTACAGAGATAGACCACATGGTTTCTTGCTTGCGCTAGCACATGAGCACGAGCAGAGCAGCTGTAGCCGTCACACGGGGAGCCGTGGCTATCAGGTTGTTTCCTCCAGAGAGAATACTCCCAAAGATTGACATCGATGTGTGCTGCTCCCTGCTGTCGTCTTCCAATAAGGGTTTGAACATGATTGTTGCAAGTTTGTAAAAATGCACATTATTGTTGTAGGGCCAGCTTCTCATGTCTTTATGGTATGATTAGCAGTCAGCACTCTCTGATTGGCAGTAAGCACAAAAATGTGTACGACTTGACGTTGACCTAGCAATCACCAGCAGTACCTCCTGAGTCCTGAGTGGCTGTGAACGACCCCGCTGAAGATATCTCTTTGTGCCTTCTGATTTAAGCATGTGATTGTTCCGTATGGCTAGCTAGTCTTCTCACTAAGGCCGTGAGACCATCTGATTCTTCTTACCACAACAGCCCGGTCTCTTCAAGGCATTTAGCATCAAGGATTTTGCAGGGACTACACAGAATCTGTGCTGCTCTTTCTTCTCTCGTGCGCTCAGCCAACTTCTACATGAGTGTGCTGGATTAGCACTCCGAGCCTCTGCTCTGATTGATTTTCCCAGTGTGCGTGTGTGTGCATGTGTTTCCTATTCTCCATGTTTGTGTGTGTGTGGCTGATTTGATTAGTTGGGGTTATCAACATTGAATTAGTTAGATCTGTGTGGATGATTAGTTGGAATTTGCAACGTTTGAATTAGTTAGATCTCCATGCGCCTTTTCTTTTGTGGGGCGAACCATGTGCGTATGTTTGCACATGCATGATGTTGATATATTTGTTCTCTGATCTGCATGAAAAAAAATCAGAAATGATATTTTTTTTATGTGTGGGAACAAATGTGCACAGGCTTTGGGCCATCCCTCGGGCTTATATATCGCATGGGATTGCGTACCGGTGAATGTTGGAGCTTTGGGCCAGGCTCGGGCTGACCTTTTGATGACTGGCTTTTTAAACCTAGCCTAAAACCGGCCCCCGACCTAAGGATTGCTCAGTTTTACTCTTCTCCTCCCATATCTTCGCTACACAGCCTGCTGGGTTCTCCATATCTTTAACCTCCATAAAGGATCTCCAAAGCCCCATCTCTGTCCACACTTGCCCTCTTTGGTATCCTCCTATCTATTGTCCAATCCATGAGATCCATGGCAAGCTCTTATTGTCGGGTAACTTTTTTTAGCTAGGAGAAGAAGTCTGTTGCAAACATATCCAAGAGGAGATCTAGTGTTGAAGTTGATTACTCTCTTAGAATAGCCCGGTAACAAACATATTACCGCCCAATAACATTTTGAGTTCTAAAATAAGTCGTCCAGTGAGTTTTAGTCGATCGATCACTACTTGCGAACTGATCTTTAATCACATATTAGTGGCTGGGGTAACTACTGAGTTCCAAAATTAGTTCTTCGTGTCATTTACATTTGCCACATGACAGTTAGTATCATATCACTATTGTAATTTTATCCAACATCCGAGTTAGAGATACCAACATGTCAAGTTATTTAGTTACCCAGCTGCACATGGTATAGTTATCAGCATGTCAACTATGTAATTATCTAGCTGCCCATGCTACAGTTACCACCTGACACAATTGTAGTTACCGGCCACATGTCTAGGTTAGAGTCACCGCCTGACAGTTAGTATGAGTAATTGTTGTGAGAGTAATTTTGGACTCTATAACTACTTGTGAGTAGTTCGATAACTCCTATATGTCGGCCTAAACGGACAAATCAGGTTTGCCATTTGAGAGCTAACACATATTAGGAAATAAGATGGAATTTTGCTGACATCAACATGTTGGCCATTATTTACGTGCATGCATAAGGCAATGAGGTAAGAGAGAAAGAGAAGCAAGGCAGCACGTGGTGGTGACTTGGAGTGTTCGGCAGATACACTATATAATCTATATATATACATAAAGTTCATTGTGTATCACACTCTAGTAGAGCTAATAAAGCGCCAAGTAAATTCACCAATTTGTAACGCTAAGTAAGTCAGGGCTCAGAAATGATAAGAGTTAGCCACCAACCGAATAGTGTTGGAGGTGAGCATGGCCTCACACCTAGAGTAGGCGAGTGGACGGACGCACAGCCCCTATCTTGGAACTGTGCAAATTGTCTGCATCCCAAATTCTGTTGCGTGCGAGTCCTACGGACCATCCGTTCGGACTTTCTTGGGCTGCCGTTTCGTCTAGGATTACGCCAGCTGACCAACCCATCTCGACCTTCTCTGATAAAGGCATGGCACCGGCGCCGATGCTGCCAACCGCATGCTGCTGGGTTTCAGTGAGATAGAACCTTTGATCACGCCAGACTCGGTGGCATGGCGGCCCTGCAGCTGGCCGCTCTCCTTGCCCTGCTGCTCGCGCTGTGGCGTCTCGTGTGGCGGCCGCGGGCCGTGGCGCGGTCGTTCGCGAGGCAGGGGGTCCGAGGGCCTCCCTACACGTTCCTGGCCGGGTCCTTGCCGGAGGCGAAGCGGCTGCTGATCGCTGGCCGGAGAGGCGTGCCGCCCCTCGACGCCGGGTGCCACGACATCATGCCCATCCTGCTACCTCAGTTCCATAGATGGGTCGCTGATTATGGTAAAGCACTGACGGTAACGGCAACTTTTCATTTTCTCTAGGTTAAATTGATAGCTACCTATGCCCAAATTCCTCGAGGAACTGATTTTTTTGTTATATAATATGATCCTACAAGCTAGGATGAGATGGTTGGTCGTGGCACACCTAGTTGCAACATTATCTTTAATCATATTTAATTAGTTCTCGAATATAGTATTCATAATGTTTTTGTTCATTCAGGCAAAACGTTTCTATTCTGGATCGGGCCGATCCCCGCCATCTTCTCTATCGATCTGCAGCTGATAAAGCAAGTGCTCACCGACAGAACGGGCCTGTATCAGAAGGACTTCATGATCCCCGTGCTCAAATCCCTCTTCGGCAATGGCGTCATATTGATAAACGGCGACGATTGGAAGCGTCACCGGAAAGTAGTCCTTCCAGCTTTCAACCATGAGAAGATCAAGGTTGTATATGCCTCCCTATACTCTACAATACATGCATCTATCTGATGTTTAAGCATTAGTGTATTATAAGAACAGTATTTTTTTCCCGTGTGTAGAGCATGTCAGCGGTGACAGGAGAGGTCACAAGGCAGATGATACAGCAATGGCGCGAGAAGATACACCAAAGCAACAGCGACAAGAAAGCAGCTGACATAGACATGATCCACGCCTTCAACGACCTGACCGCGAAGATCAACGGCCGCGTCGCCTTCGGCACAAGCCACCAGGATGTCGAGGAGGTCATCGTCTTGATGCGGGAGATGCAAAAGATCGCCACTGCCTCCACGCTGGATGCTCCAATACTCTGGTAGAGCACTACAGTATTTGCTTACACACCAGCTCTGAATCCAGACTCATGATATTGACTATGTTAATCTTGTGTCGTTCACTTCAGGTATCTGCCGACTCAGCGTAACTTGCACGTTCGACGTCTGAACAAACAGCTGAGAAGCAAGATCATGTCGATCATGCAGGCACGGCTGGCCGCAGATGGAGCCAAATATGGTCGAGGAGACACCGGCGGCTGCGGGGACGACCTGCTCGGGCTGCTGTTAGAGGCGTGGACGCCAAACCGGCAAGGGAGCGGCGGCGATACAATGACAACCGACGAGGTGATTGATGAGTGCAAGACCTTCTTCGCCGCAGGGCAGGAAACCACGGCCACCCTCCTCATCTGGACCATGTTCCTGCTTGCCGTGCACCCCCAGTGGCAGGACAAGGTCAGGGAAGAGGTCCTCAGGGAGTTCCCCGGTGGCGGCAGGGATGGCGATGATGTGACACCCAACGCCGATATTCTCGCCAAACTGAAGCTGGTGCGTACATTTCAACTATCAATATCATTTTTCCTATATTTTCATATGAATATATTAAGTATCATCAATGTTCATATTTGTTTCTATAAGGTTGGTCAAAGTTTACAAAATTTAACTTTTGAATTATTTTTGTATGTAGTGTAATTTTGCAAAGAGGGAATAACTAATGTGTTGTGAGCATGCACTGTGACTTTTTACTTGCGCAGCTACACATGGTATTGCTCGAGACATCGCGTCTCTACCCTCCGGTCGTGTACATACAACGGAAGGCTGCCTCCGACACCGTCCTCGGAGGCATCAAGGTACCCCAGGGAACAATCATATCAATCCCCATCGGCATGCTACACCGAGACAAGGAAGTTTGGGGACCAGGCGCCGACGAGTTCAACCCCATGAGGTTCGAGCAGGGCGTCACAAAGGCTGCGAAAGACTCCAAGGCGCTCTTGACTTTCTCTCTAGGCCCGAGAGTATGCACCGGTCAGAACTTTGGCATCGTGCAAGTGCAGGTTGTCATGGCGATGATCCTCAGCAACTTCTCCATCTCCCTCTCCCCGGAGTATGTTCACAAGCCAAAGTATCTTCTGTCTTTGACACCCAGGCTTGGGATGCCTCTCATTTTGAGGAATCTACTATAGATGGGCGAGAAAGTTTGCAAAATTAAGCTCATTGTAACTCATGAGAGTAATTTCATTATAATTTCAGTGTCTTAGTTATGGTCTGACATTCTACACAATCGATTTTGGAGATGCAACCAATTATGCATACAGAGATCATATCAACTTGGAGTAATAGACGAATCTTCTTGGATACATATACGAGCAAGAAGATCAAGGTACATGTAGTTGTGATGTTACGATGGAAGACGACGTCGTTGGTGGTACCGTGGCCGTCCCTGCTTGACCAGCGTAACCTCAAGATTGCATCCATCCAGAAACATTTTGCCAAAAGCATCGACAGCATCTTGCGGATGAGCATGCACCGTCGACATGGTTACAAAACCGACACCCTGGGAGCACTTGGTATCTTTGTTGTACAGTACCTCGGCAGTAGACACTTTGCCGCGCTTGCTGAAAACAAGTTCCAACTTGGAGCTATTCACCGTGAGAGGCAAATTACGCACCATCACCCTGAAACAAGGCTCGTGATGTTTCGAGATGTGAATAATGCTTGCTAGACTAGCAACTGGAGCCGTCTTCTGCTGCTTCTGCTTCACTTCTAGAGCCTTGCACCTCTTAGTAATTTCCTGATCCAACAAGATTCAAGGTAATTTTTAGCACTTTCTCAGTTTGAGATGCTTATGTTCAAGGGTTAAACTTTTACACAGTGGTATTAACTTTTGTGACCACAAAAGTAATGAAAGATTTTATTATCAAAATATCAATTTTGAACTCGTGTAGTAAATACCTGAATTGGAGCAATAGCGGGTTGTGGGACGAGCCACGTGCACCTCTCGTCGTCCCATCCCGGAGGTAGCCGCTCTACGAAATCAGTCTTGGCGTTGAGGAAGTTGTACCTGAAAACGCCACAATGTCGAGGCGGGAAGGCCTTACATTGACCCTTACTGTTGTCGTAGACGAAATAGGCGCAGCCCCCATGGCTGCGCAGCCGCGAGGCGTCTATGGCGAAGCTATTGGGCGACCCCAGAAACAACACACGATCCGCCAAGCTACGTTCATTCTTTCTCACCCACCGCATCTTCTTCCCTTGCCCCGCCGCGTCCTCCTCCTCTAGGTTTTGCACCGACACCCATAGGGCATCAACGTTGCGGGTACCTTCTTTGCACGAAACACTGTACGAGGTGCGAACCGATGCCCATAACAGCTCGCCGCGGGTCTCGAAGACGTAGCTGTCCTTGCACTCGTATTCGCCAGGGACCAACAAGTCACCGTGACGGCCGCGGCTTCTGGCGTGATGACCTGCAAGATACTGCCAGCCCCTATGGTGACCAGGATCCTGCCTCCGTGGTACGCAGCACGGCACTCCAAGTGCTTCACGTCGTCGAAAGTCCTCTCGATGAGCGTCCACTTTCCATCCCCGGGGCGCAGGAGAGCCGCCGTGAACATGGCCCTGATGGTATGATCGTAGCTGACGTTGGTGATGCTGCTGCTGTAGAGCAGGATCGTGCCATCGCCGTAGATAATTCCCTGGGGATTGTTCTTGTCCCACTGGCTGCGGAGGTTGTACGGGAGACGAGGCATGTTATGGGCGGTTTCTCGGGTGAGAAGATCGTAGAGACAATGGCGGGGATGTTCGATGGTGAGGAATCGGACAGCGGTGGCGCTGCACACCCGGTACATGGGTGGCGTGGACGGCAGCATGGACCGGTAACTGGACTTGGAGAAGATGCACCTGAATCGGAGGGGGGTCGAATCTTTGCCTTCCGCCGCCAGGAGCCACGGCAGGAACAATGGCGGCCGCGCCTCGTCGCGTGAGGCACGCCATGTCTTCCAGACGGCATGGAAGCGGACGAAGTCCGCGAGGTCGTGCAGCCATGCGGCGATCTCGCACAGCAAGTCCGGCAGGAGGTCCGCCCACCGCGTCTGGTCCATGGCGGCTGCTCGATGGTGGAGATGGAGTCGATCAATCTAGGG